GTTATAGCTTGTCTTCTGATAAATTGTGCTGCCTGGCAATCTTTTAAAATGGCTACTTTATCACTTGCCCTCTTGCATGGGCTTTTAGTTGAAAGTATTTGCAACTGTTATCTTGCTTCACGTGGACCACCTATAATATGAGTATTTAATATAGGCAATTTTTATATACAGTGAAGGGGAAAAGTATTTGATCCCCTGCTGATTTTGAACGTTTTCCCACTGACAAAGAAATGATCAGTCTATAATTTTAATGGTAGGTGTATTTTAACAGTGAGAGACAGAATAACCAAAGAAATCCTGAAAAAAACACGTCAAAAAAGTTATAAATTGACTTGCATGTCAATAAGTGAAATAAGTATTTTACCACTTCAACTTAGTACTTGGTGTCAAAACCCTTGTTGGTAATCACAGAGGTCAGACATTTCTTGTAGTTGGCCACCAGGTTTGCACACATCTCAGGAGGGATTTTGTCCCACTCCTCTTTGCAGATCCCCTCCATTCTCCAAGTCATTAAGGTTTCGAGGCTGACCTTTGGCAACTCAAACCTTTCGCTCCCTCCACAGATTTTCTATGGGATTAAGGTCTGGAGACTGGCTAGGACACTCCAGGACCTTAATGTGCTTTTTATTGAGCCACTCCTTTGTTGCCTTGGCTGTGTGTTTTGGGTCAGGGGGTTCTCACCCAAAATTTGACGGTATATGACCCTATCCATCTTCCTTTTAAAGCGGTGCAGTTGTCTTGTCCCCTTAGCAGAAAAACACCCCCAAATCATAATGTTTCCACCTCCATGTTTGACGTGAAATTTTTGGGGTCATATTCAGCATTCCTCCTCCTCCAAACACAGCGAGTTGAGTTAATGCCAAAGTGCTCGATTTTGGTCTCATCTGACCAAAACACTTTCACCCAGTTCTCCTCTGAATCATTCAGATGTTAATTGGCAGACTTCAAACAGGCCTGTTCATGTGCTTTCTTGAGCAGGGGGACCTTGCGGGCGGATTTCAGTCCTTCATGGCACAGTGTGTTACCAATTGTTTTCTTGGTGACTATGGTCCCAGCTGCCTTGAGATCAATAACAAGATCCTCCTGTGTAGTTCTGGGTTGATTCCTCACCGTTCTCATGATCTCATGAACCTCCACAAGGTGAGATCTTGCATGGAGCACCAGACCGAGGGAGACTGACAGTTATTTTGTGTTTCTTCCATTTGCGAATAAGCGCACCTACTGTTGTCATCTTCTTACCATGCTGCTTGGCGATGGTCTTGTAGCCCATTCCAGCCTTGTGTAGGTCTACAATCTTGTCCCTGACATCCTTGGACAGCTCTTTGGTCTCGGCCTTGGTGGAGAGTTTGGAATCTGATTAATTGATTGCTTATGTGGACAGGTGTCTTTTATACAGGTAATGAGCTGAGATTAGGAGCACTCCCTTTAAGAGCGTGCTCCTAATCTCAGCTCGTTACCTGTATAAAAGACACCTGGGAGACAGAAATCTTGCTGATTGATAGAGGATCAAATAATTATTTTACTCATTGACATGCAAATCAATCTGTAACTTTTTTGACATGCGTTTTTCTGGATTTTTTGTTTGTTATTCTGTATCTCACTGTTAAAATACACCTCCCATTAAAATTATAGACTGATCATTTCTTTGTCAGTTGGCATACGTTCATAATCAGCAGATGATCAAACACTTTTTCCCCTCACTGTATTAAAAATGAATTTGTGTTAAAAAGTGGAGAGCTTTAAAATTAACAATCCTTTTGTGCATACACTAGTTAAAGACATATAAATATACTTTTATATAAAATAGACAAATCTATTCCAGTAAAAACAAACAGTGTCCAAACGATTGCACATGTAAAAAAATAATAAAACTACAGATGTTTTAAAGCCAAATAAATGTACTCTATAAGCACTGGAGGTGTCCCTAAGGGGCAATGTAAACACTGGCTTTTTTCTCTCAAACATTAATTAAACTCACTGTTTTACATTGGAAAAAATATAAGGAAGTGAAAATTGAGCTCCCGCAATGACTGGCATGACTTCTATATCGCATAAGGTATTAACGACTGCAATGATACTGATAGAAAAAAATGTTTTGGTAACATGAACTTGCAGTACGTAATTAGTAGGTGTATGCCTTGGAGAATGCACATGGTATATCTATGAGGTAATAAGCTGTATTTAGTTACCACCGTTACAGAGTTTCCATTAATTTTGATTGTATTGCCAGGAAGTAGTAGTAGTAATAATGATCAGAAAGATCTTGACCAGAAGTCACTATCTGAAATAAATAGCTCCCTTGAGATCCAACGGAGAACCTTCCTTGTCATTTCTGAAAGTATATTATAGGAGCTATTGCTTGACGTTTTGAATATGATTTGTTTGACGGTATTGAAATAATCTGTAATGTGTTTTGAAAAGGGGATGAGCAGAGTTTTACAGAAACAGTAATGCTTCTGTTTTACATTTAGTAAAAATATAGAAGAACTCATTTTTATGTGTGCACATCTTTGTGTTTATTGTACAAATAAGTATTTTTAGTAGTCTTGGGGCTGATAGTCTAAGCACCATAACTCTACCTGCATTTGAAGTGATTATGGTGCTGGTATTCTGTGGGCATCATCCCCCATTTCTTGTTCCAGCTTGTTTTGCACAGTTTGGCCAAAAATGGAGGTAGCCCACAGCAGGTGATGGGGGGGGGGGATAATTTAATTCTGGATGAAAAGTGCTCCTTACAAAAAAAAAACTGGTGATCTACTTACACTGTAAAGAACATAACTCTGCTCCTGGTGTGAATCATTTGTGTGCCCACACAGGCAGCACTAATATTTCTTTTGTGGGGTCATTGGTGTCTTCACAAATGGAAAATAAAATAAATTCACAATAGTGTGATATACTTGATCTATCAGCCAGTGCAAGTGTATGGTTGCACTTACGCAGACCAGTATATAATGAGCTGGTGCTTCTCAAGGTCACAGCCTCCCTTCTTGGTTTAAGACATTCCTCTCTATAAAAGGCAAAATCAATATTTTACAGCCACCTCTTTGCACCATCGATGTTCCAAATGTCTCCATACTTTGTATAAATTTATAAAATTGTCTCAGGTATAAATTACATGTATTTTATAAATTTATTTTTATCAATATACTTTACTTATAAAGTGTCAAAACATTCCTCAGTACTGTCCATGGGTACAATTAGTATAAGTAAAAAGATACAATGCCTCTAACACAAAATAAAAAAAGATACAGATTGCCGCAAAGTTGGTGCCCTATTCCTGTGGAAATTTGTAGAGGAAGTGGTTGCGACTATGTAGAGGAAGTTTCTTTCATAGTTTTTTTTTTTTTGGTTATAGAATCATACCAGGGCAGTACGACTATATACACATTGAGTATAATAGGTAGAATATATTACTCTATTGTGGTTTTATTTTATTTTCCATATTTTCCAAGTGCCTGAAAAGGCGTTCATGGGCTTCACATTGGGAGCCAGGTTCTTAGGCTTCTAAAGTGTAAGTACACCACTGTTCAAACATTTTAGGCAGGTTTTAAAGAAAGCTGTAAAGTAAATTACTGCTTAGAATGTCAATATTTTGTTTTAATCAGTTAACAAAATGAAAAGAGAATGAGCAGAAGAAAACCAAACTGATATTTTGTGTGACTACCCTTTGCCTTAAACACAGCATCAATTCTTCTAGGTACATTTGCACACAGTTTTGCAACTCTGCAGGTAGATTGTTCCAAACATCTTGGAGAACTAACCACAGTTCGTATGTGGGTCTTGGCAGAATCATTTGCTTCTGTTTCTTAATATAATCCCAGGAAAACTTGATGATGATAAGATCAGGGCTGTGTGCCGGCCAAACCTTCTCTTCCAGTACTCCTTGTTCTTCTTTACGCTGACAATAGTTCTTAATGACTGTGGCTGTATGTTTGGGATCATTGTTATATTGCAGAGTACATTTGGGGCCAATCACATGTCTCTTTGACATTGCACGATGGATAAGTACTTGCAAGGAACCTCAACCATGCTTTACTGTTGCATGCAGACACTCATTCTTGTACATTTGAACTTGTCTCAGTGTATTATTTTATATAAAAACCCTTATAATCGGCATGGCAGTGAACTATCTGCAAGCAAAGACAGAGCTCATTGGCAACTCATTTTTTTCATCCCGAAAATTTTACTTACCCATTTCCCAGTATGTACGCACACACTTCAGCTACTCCTGTACTCTCATGGCTTGCAAAAGACTAGCTTGTGTCTGTTTGCAACAGTAGTACAATTAGCTTCTGGGATCTGTTTTCTATTCTGTACTTTCAGAAGATTGTTCCAAACATCTTGGAGAACTAACCAACGTTCTTCTGAAGATCCTATTTACCTTGCAATTAGGGCAATTCCTGCATTCCCCAAAGTAGCTTCCACACACTTTCCTGTTCAGAACCTTCAGTTTCTGGCAGGGCCACAGCCATTCATCCTACCAAAATCAGTAATACATAGGAATACAGCAATCTAAGCGTATTCCAGTGTTCCTTCCTGGTAAAGAATAATTGTGATACATACATTTTGGTGCTGCGTGAATGTGACCTTCTGTTATTTCCTCTCAGTGCCGTGACTGACAGGTTGTCAATGGAAGAGCAAATGGATCTTCAAGTTGTCTGTGCTGTGACAGAATACAGACACATCTCAGTCCTTCACTAACATGACCATCAGCAACAGTACACAGCAAGTGAAGGAAAGGGAGGATTAAATACATTTCACTTGTGTTTGTGAGTGTGTGTGTTTGTCAGTTTATGTATGCATGAAAGTGTGTATGTATGTGTGTATTTTTTAATGGGTGGGGTTCATTGGTTGTGTGTTGGATTGCATTAATGACTAATTCTGTATATATAGCTAACAGCAGGGGGCCGTGGCCTAGCTGTCCACGAGGAAAGACACATACAGCGTGCTCCGCACCCAGAGCTGATTAAAACAGCATTTAAACCCTCATTTTTCCCGTGATGTGTACCAAGAAGCCCACTGCGTCGGGGACCACCATGACAGGATCCCCAAGGTGCTGCACGGGGCCACTTGATGACTTTGTGTCCATGCCGGCAGGTCGCCGCATGCACCGACAGTGGAGGGGACTCACAGCCTGAAATCGGATCTGACGATACCCTGCACAGCATTCAGACGGTGCTGGCCAAGATAGCAGGCAACATGCTCACAAAAGCGGACACCAGTGTCCTTGTCCAGGAGATCCAGATGGCCGTCCGCGAGGACCTATTGGCACTCCGCACTGACCTCATGGCCCTGGAGGCCCGAGTGGATGCGATTAAAGGAGAGACACGACTATGCTGCCAACAACACTGCGCAGCAGAAACTGCCGCCACCAGGCAAGGGAATATGCTGCTGTCCATTATATAAAAATATTTGCATCAGGGGGCTCCCTGAACCAAACACTGAACCTTTGGCCACCATGTTGGTCTCCCTGTTTTGCCAGATCTTGGGCCTTCAGGCACCACAGGACATACGCTTAGATAGAGCCCATTGAGCACTGGGGCAGGCCAAGAGATGTTATCTGCTGCCTCCATGCCTTCCCAGTCGAGGAACAGCTCATGACGGCTACCAGGAATTTGCCCTCCATCCAGTTCCAGGCTGCAGAACTGTCGTTCTTCCAGGACCTCTCAGGCCTTACTTTAGACGCCAGACACGCCCATAGGCTGATTACTACGGCTCTCCAGTACAAATGTATACCCTACAAATGGGGTTTTCCCTTCAGCCTGCAGACCAGGCAGGGCTCTACCTGGCACTCGATCAGGCTCCGGGATGATATTCCCCGCTTTCTCCGAGCTCTCCATCTTCCAGTTGTGAGGATCCAATTGGGCACAGAAGAGGAGAGGATTTGGGCCCACAACCCTCCATTAATCGGATTGGTGAGATGTTGCTCCCACGCCATTGGGGCGGTCCGGCCCAGGGCAGAGGAATAAAAGGATTTACTGTACAGCTCTGGTGATGCCTGCGGCTCCCTGCATACACCCCTGTACTGACTTTCCCCAGTTAGACGTCCTAGTTAGCTTATCTGGAACTCCCCTGTGTTGCGGTAGGACTAGCCCAGCGGCTTTACCCACTCAACGTAGGTGGAGTCCGCGGCCCCCCCTGTGAACACACCCCTGGTCTGCAACACCCTGTAAGGACGGTGGCTTTTCACAAATTTTACCCAATTGGGTGACCTAGTCAGCTTGTCCCGGGACTTCCCTGTACCGAGGTACCACTGGCCCGTGAACAGGCCCCACCCGTTTGTGTTATGTGAGATCTAGTGGCCTTATGTAGGACAAACGGTATTTGAGACACGGTGCTTTCTCACATTCTCAGAGGCCAAGTAGCGGCCACTGGGCCATCGGGGACGAGGACCTGGGATTCAGGTTGGGAGGGGGGGGGGTCTTTATGGGTATTCCTACATACACACAGTTATGATGAATCTCTGCAAGAGCGGCCCAGTCACTCAGGTCCGGCTTCCTTTCATCCATGCATCACATATGCCCAAGTTGATGGGGTGAGGATAGGTGTTTGGGTGGGGGTTTACCTCATGGGGGGATGTTGGTACCGTATATTGGGACTACCTGCAGGACGGCATAGTGTTGGGAAGGGACTTGTTGATGCCTGTCGCTGCATTGGGTCTAGGTGCTCGTTCAGTATATAGCAGTGTTAGGCAGTTGGGAGGGGATGGAGGGGAGGACAGATAATGTTATCTGATTATGTGCTAGCCCAATGTTGATATGCTTACTACTGTGTATTACTATATGTACATGTCATATATCCTTTGTGTGTCTGGCGGTTACACTGGGGACGTTGGATGAGCCGAGGTTACTTCATTTTAGTTTCACAGCGCCCTCATATTCTGGGGGGGGGGAGTACACATGTTTTCAGATTGGTTCAGGGGTTGGGCCCGGTTGGCCTGACCTAGATATTCAGTTATGTTTTTGGCCTGAGCTGACAGGCCCTCAGTGATAGTGACTGGATGGTAGTCATGTTCCCAAAGACAGACACACACTTAGCTGGGTATTTAGGGAGTGGAGCGAGGATATCTGGCTGTGGACTTGGTGCCCGCCCTCACGGCCCGCCCAGTGTGTCAAGTTGATTACTTAACCTTTCGCCCTTGGGCTTCACTTGGTTAACGGTTTGCCTCAGGCTCTTGCCTTGAGCCCCTTGGCGTCCTCCACCCCCCGGGCGCTGGGCTTGTCCATTTCTGACCTCTAGCTACTTTTTCTCTCCTATCCCATCTTCACCCCCCCTTTTTTTCCCTCTCTCATTCCTCTTCTCTCACTACTACAGGCATAGAGATGGCCAGCAGGTTCTTCCCGGCACCCCTTCGACTTTGGTCCAGTAACGTCCAAGGCCTGAATATCCCTCACCTCTCCCTCACCTATTGCGCTCCCTGTGGTCGGCCAGGGCCTTGGTCGCCTTCATACAGGAGACACACTTCCGGGGAACTAATGCCCCCGCTCTCCGGGAATCCCGTTTCCCCACGGGATTCTTTGCAAATCACCGAGTCGCAAAGAAAGCTGGGGGTAGCTATCCTAATTGCCAGCACGACCCCCTTCCAGTGTCTGACTAAACAAGCTGATCCGATGAGCCGCTATCTGTTTCTGAAAGGCACTATCACAGGACTTCTCTACACTTCTCTACACCCTAACATGTATGTGCATGCCCAACATCAAACAAGTTCTTCGCTCGCATCCTGACGGCTTTGAAACATTCATAGAAGGAATGCTTATTGTGAGACCTCAACGTTGCACTGGACCCACGAAAGGGATATGTCCAGGGGCTCCTGTTCACTTCCAGCCACCTATTGGCGTAAGGCTTTCACGACAATCAAGAACTCCGGCATAGATACATGGCCGTTGGTCCACCTGGATGACCGAGATTTTTCATTCTACTCCACGGTGCACCACCACTACAGCAGGTTGGACTAATCTTTATCTCCCAAGAATACCATCCGCTTCTGAAATCTAGCGAAATCCTGCGGGCGACATGGTCTGACCACTCACCAATCCTAACCAGCATAAATTCCCAGCTGTTTTAACTGAAGGAAAGGCAGTGAAGGTTAAATGAACAGATCCTCGAGGAGATTGAAGCGATGACAGACGCTAGGACGACCTTGCAACAATATTTGGAGGAAAGGTCTCTAAGGCACACAAGGCCCATATGGCCTCCCAGTTCAATACTATAAAAAGTTCCAAGATCTCCTAATGCCACACCTTCTGAAAGGCCTTAACTTCCTCCTGAACAGTGGTCAACTCCCAACCGACACGGTAGCAACGACTATTACTCTAATCCCCAAGAAAGGGAAAGATCCAACCAGCTGCGCAAGCTACCAGGTGATCTCCCTTCTGAATGCGGATTTGAAGCTGTTTACAAAATCTTGCTTTACGCGTGGGTAGAGTGCTCTCAAATCTGGTCCACCCCAATCAAGTGGGCTTTATCCGAGGCAAAGAGGCGAGAGACAACACCATAAGGGCTCTCAACGTGATCCACGCGGCTCGAAGTACCAACCAACAAGCCCTTTTCCTCTCTATGGACGCCGAAAGGTGTTTGATCAGGGGGACTGGCAATTAATGCTGGCAACACTTCGTGTGATGGGTTTCGGATTGAGTATGTTGGCTTGGATTGCCTCCCTGTACACGACACCCACTGCCAGACCGAGGGTTAACGGTGCCCTGTCACGACCTTTTAATATTCAGAACAGCACAAGGCAGGACTGCCCCCTGTCCCCCTCCTGCTTGCCCTCTCTCTGCAACCTTTTCTAGGGGTGGTCAGATAAGATTGGGGTATAACAGGGTTCTCTTGTGGACATCAGGACCACTGGGTGACTGCATATGCAAATGATCTGCTTTTTTCCCCTCGATAATCAGTTAGTTTCGCTGCCGAACCTGCTTGCCAGATTTTGAGAATAAGGCCTCCTGTCAAACCTGAAGCTCAACACAGTTAAATCTGCCGATCACCCTCTCTCGATTAGAAATGGACCAGC